TAGGACAACTGCTGCCACGACTCCAAAAAAACATCAGTCAAAATAGTGATTATGTATAGAAAAACAGCCTAGGATAGCTTTCAAACCATGTGCTATTTTTTAAAATTACATGCTTTCTGTAAGGGCCGGGCTGACCGGCGAGGCGCCCTCAAGGGGCCAGAGCAACTGGCAGGGACCCTGCCGTCGTGCACCCCGAAGGTGGGCCGTGCTCCTTCACTTCGTCCTATTAACACATTATTGTGTATCCTCTATCTTCCCGCAAGGCTCAGCGGCCGTCTGATAGCCATCGGTAGGCCTCATCAAAGACTGTGGCAGACACTGCATTAACATGGATTTTTGGAGCAATGCCATGCCTCCACCGAGTTGGACTGTCTTGTTGCAATCTCCACAGATAGGTAGCGCTGGCAATTACGTACACTACGAGTGATCACCGATTTTTTACAACCCGGTCGAGCAGTGCAGACGGATTACTTACTGGGTGACTTGACTAGGTCCCTCCTGCACCCTGTTACCTCAAAGGGTCAGGGTATTGGAGTGGCATAGTCATCCATGGTTACGATGACTGACATTTGAGTGTCCTTAAATATCAGTCACCTCCGAGGATTGAACCTGGGACCCCAATGATGGCAGCGAACTGCCTTGACCACAATACCACTGAGGCTGACTTATGTGCTTTTACTTACTTGAAAAATATGGAGACCTTCCTTTTGAGACACCCCTCGTAAATTTTAATAGCTCGAAGATCGATACTTAAGTAGAAATCGATGGCTCAAAGATCGATACTTGGGTCGAAATCGATGGGTCGAACATCGATGTATTGATTGCGCTCAAACCGCCATTTCTGCCCTACATACACCTTACAGATCTCACGTAGTATCGTTTAAAATGCTTGATGAGGTGGACAATCCTCTAAAAATTGCTTTAAACACATTTCGTACTTCGTTTTGGACCTTGATTACATAACGAACAAAAAAGGAAAACGGATTTTTGGCTCTCCTGAGAAGTCTGCAGTTTGAAGATACGTTGTGTCATACTTGAGCCATCATCGATAAGTAAAAGGTCGTATCTTTCTGTGAAAAATGAGTTTTCAATCGTGTCATTTTCATAATAAGAGAGCGGACCAAATTATCAAAAAATACACTCTTCCAATTTTGCAGGTGTTGATAAGTATCGCCATTAAAAAAAAAAAAAAAAAAAAAAAAAAAAAAAAAAAAAAAATTGAATTTGACTGAGTCTGTTATGGAGAAGGCAAGAGGCTTAGAAAATTTAAGAGAAAATATTTTAATAATGCAATGATATCTTATCATTAAATAACAACAGTTTTACTTTTCACACGTTCCTAATGCTAGGTACCCATCGATTTAGAGACGCTGAACAATGTCATTCATAGAGGGCAGCAACCTTCGATTGTTTATCAAATCTTCTCAATCCTAACACAATTGAAGACGTATGTATTTACAATGAAATGAATGCTCTCAGGCGTACACCGCACCATGCGTTATGGGCATATTGCGTTGACACTGGATCACGAAGCAAACTCTCGGCCGTAAGTGTAAAACTCCGAGGGACTCAATGTGTTTGTAAGTTTATGGGTGTTAGTGAGATTGTCACGAAATACGGCTCCTTCCATTTTAATCATCCTGGTTTTGATGTCGTTTATCATGCATTCTATGCTCTCTTCGTTTGTTCTGAAACAAAATAAGCCAATTCTTTGATATCATGAAGTTGGAAAAGCATCATAGTCCCATACAGGCAGTGGCGTACGGTCCACATGTATACGCAAGGTACTCACTTCTTGTCCTCAGATTTCAGAAGAAAGGACATTTTACCCTTAACACGTTTTGAGTTTTAGCTGAATATTATTGATTTAAGGTATTAAGTAAGTAAATTGCATTAAAAACAGAAGCGGAGGGACAGAAATAGGTACGTAAGTAAACATGGTGTCCCAAAAGTCCCTTTCACCCCCTCTAAAATTTTACGTAATTAATATTATATTATGTAACGAAACATTGGGAATGTTCATAAATCAGTGTTAACTACTCCCCCCCCCCCCCCCC